GACACGAATGACCCAGACGTGTGTACTAAGAGTTAAAAGTGATACAAAAGTGACAATTTAGAACTTGGATCAAAAATTATGCCAATAAGAAATGGACATATTTTAAAAAGTAATTAAAATTAAATGAAAAAATTTATATTTAAAGTACCTATATAAAATTGTATTGTTAAATATAAATATTAATCTTATTAAACTGTTTCATAGGTATATGTATGATATTAATTTTTATATGGAAAATATAAATTTTTCAATTTCAGTCACTTTACAAAAACTATACATCTTCAAAATCAATTTTATTGTTAAAAGAAAAATTGGATACAGTGTACGATGATAGCCTCTTCGTCGAAGTGTATCAAGAAAGATATAATCTTTTAAAGAAATCTATTTTATAAAGTCTATTATTTTATTTCAAAACGGAGTAATAATAGATTTGTTCGTGTTCCTTGCACTTTGTGTACTCAGCATCTTCATTTTCACTTTCTTCACAATGCCCGAATATATATTTATTTTATTTTAATTTTTACAAATAATGATATTTCGATTCTTTATTATTCTTCAGAAAATATTTATACAATTGTGTATTAAAAGAAAAAAAAGGATAGAGACTATTATTTAGCTAGGTGCAACAGTAATTTTAAAGAAAAGAAATGTTCAGGATACAAATGATCAGTTGTAGCTCTGTTCGCATTGCTTGAGCTCTCGAAAAATGTTTACACTTAAAACAAGATAAATATATATTTGGGCATTGAATAGAGAAAAAGAGGTTTTGATTGCAAAAAGTGCAAGTAAACAGACCTCGCGTGTCAACTAAGAGTCTCTTTCATCAACTTCTGGTTAAATTAATCTTAGCAATGCCAAACGAGCGAGTGTTTAAAATTAAAATGTTAAAAAGTATGAGAAGAAAATCCTCTGCGCTGTTAAATTCAACGATTCGCTGATCCATTTTCTTTACTTTCATATTAGATATATTTCCTCCGTCCTATTGCTCGTGGCCGTGGTGACTTCTCTCATATGCCTGTAGTGCACACGCTGGTTGTACACAGTCATATGGGACCTACAGTTTAACGTCGATTCCGAACGACGATTTATTAGAGAAGTGCTCTTGGCAAGGATACTCTCGGTGGTTTGCCATTGTCTTCCGAGAGGAGCTACGAGCGTTCGAAAACATTTTTTGATTCTGCCCAAGATCGAACTCGGGATCTCTGGCATAGCAGTCTCGTGCGCTGCCTGCTACGCCACGCTCGCACTCAATTCAATGTATCGGAGAACGTCTCCTCTTTCTTTCTCTTCTGAGACAAACTATGTTTAGTTTTCAGGGAGCAATCGTGATCAGTGTTGTGTAAGGTACTCTATTTTCTGTACCTGGGTACAGGTACACGTACTAGAAAAATAAAATATTTAGGTACAGGTACAGGCACCTTAAATGTACCTTAAAAATATCTAGTACAGGTACTTTTATTTTTGATATAAAATTTCAGAATAAATTGCATTTAACAAAAAAATTACATCTTTAACCTTATTTGAAATAACGACAGCTTGCTTGTTAGGTATAATCGATATATTTCATGTATCTGCACGTAATATTTATTTACTTATTATACATACATTTTATATGTACATATATAAATATTCTATGCAAGTAAGTTTAAAATATAAGGCTTATTTATAAAGTGACACTTACAAAGCCATTAATTAATTTTATTCAAATAATCCATTTATTAACATTTACTTATTATTAAAAAATACAATAAAATATAATAAAACGCTTGAATAAATTAAATAAATTAATAATATAAAATGCCTACAAAGAGCCAACACAATATCTAAATATGTAAATAAATTTATTAGAATGATAACATAAAAAAGAAATCATAAACATTTCGATCTTAATTTTTTAGGTCATCACTAGTACAATTTAAGTAACGGTTTTTAATGTCAAATCAAAGTTGAAATAGAAATCGTAATCAAAATAACAAAATACATATGTATGTATTTTATTATTTTGCTTGTGATTTTTATTTCAACTTTGATTTGACATTAAAAACCGTAACCTAAATTGTACTAATATATGTGTTTTGTTACTTTGAGTAACATTCTATATAACTTGATGTAATTACGTTAATCGGAAAATTGGTGAAAGAGGCCCTAAGGATTAAGTGCGAAAATTTTGGAGGATTGCGAGTGATGTGAACAGATCTAATGTTTCAAAGCGATAAACGGTTATAGAACCCGTTGGTGCTTGTTTTGGCTGTTGAGCATTCCAACGCGTATGCCAGCGACCAGGCACTCGTGTCTCGTGTTGTCAATGTCAACTTAAGTATCTTCCAGTCAAATTTAAATATTTTTTCTTTGATCTATAGCAAAAATTAGTTGTAACTATTTAGCTATTTTTCTGAATACTTTTATAAAAGTAACAGAGCTAGCTAGTTAGCTATTTCTTGTGGTTTTGATTCGTTAATAGAGGCTTCATACCGTCTGACATTCAATAGATTCGAAGAATTCGTTTTAGAAATAAAAATCTAGAACTTTACAAAGGAACACCAACAAAATGAAATTTCCTGTGCACTTTTTGCCCTTAATATCTTCACTTTCTCTCTTTTCAACATTCAAATATAATATCTATCTTATTTTATGCTCAAAAATTTTTGAGAATTTCAAGCAATGCGAACAGGCCTTGTATTATGCATATTAGTATATAATTATAATATGTTACTCATTGCTATAATGTATGTTACTTGGTCAATTTTATAATAATATGTTTATGTAAATACAATTGTAAAGCAGAGAGCACAGACTCTTACATAAAAGTACAATTTCACGTGCTGCTGAAATAAGCAATTGAAGCGACAGATCTGTCGTTCTTATTCCAGCGGCTAAAATTTTATAGCTTGAACAGTTTCAACTACAAGCAGCAAACGCTCAAACGCTGAGATCCTCAAATCAGAGATTGAACACCGTTTAGATAACTTCTGATTGGTCCGTCATACTCCTCGGAATGCCCAAGAACAAGATGGATACATAAGATAGAATGAGATGTGTGTGCGTGGATATCTCATTCTGTCCCACGCATAATCTATCTCATTCTATCCCAAACAGATCCTGAAAAACATGGCGGATCAAACGTATGGTGTCGAATCTCTGACTTGAAGATCTCTATAATCCAATATATTCTTTTCCTTTGTTGCTGATTCAGATAAAGGATTCGATATAATCAGAATAATCTAATAACTGTTTAATTCAGTGTGTTAATACTGCAAGTGAAAAATACGACCAACATATCAAATCTGTCGCTTAAATGTCAAATTTAACGCTTCTTGCCTTTTTTCATGTATAAAATTGTCGCTCTAATAGTTTTACGACAAAAGTCATCAGGTGACTTTTTTGTCGCTGAAACAGCCAGTTTGAACAGCATGTGAAAAAATACATCTTAACGCATAATATATATCTGATGCATGAAAAAATGAATCATTCGAAGTTCTTTATTTTCTTTCTTTTTATGAAATAGAGGACTTTGATTTGTTGATTTTCTTGTATCTTATGTGCTATATATATGTGTTATGCAAGAGTCTGTGTTCTCTTTTTAAAAGCTGATTTTTCTGTCAAATAAATGAATACGTCTGATTATAATTGTATTTTAAATTAAATTTGTTTTTAATTTTTCAAATCTAGCTATGTACTTAGCTATTTTAATATTTTTTACCATCTAGCTTTTCATTTCTTAGGCTAAATTTCATACCTGACGGTTAACTCTTAACCGAGCTTCAACTTATTCTCAATTTATTATCATTCTTCTATATTCTTCAATTTATTATCTCTTTTTAATTCTAGAATTTGAAAAAGATGAGAAATAAGTTGAACCTCGGTTAAGAGTTAACCGTAAGTTGTAAACTGGGCCTTACAGAATTAGCAACACTGGAGCAGACTCAACAGTTGAGTAAGCGCTCGCTGTTATTGGTGCATTCTTTTAGATTATCCAATCAGCATTTTAGATCTAGAAGAATACATTAATAATAACGAGCGCTCACTCAACTGTTAAGTCCGCTAAACGCAGCCATTTGTCTAGTGTGTCTAGTGTTCGATCGTCATTTGTATGACGCAGTTCGAGTCGGCAGCAGTCAAATCTGTTCTAGTGAAGATATGGGGGCTATTTTATTTCCGTATAGTCCCCGTATTTTATTTCTCAACCGCGTAGAGTGTATTCGAAAATTGCATAAAGCTAATTTGCTTATCGAGCGGTTGAATTAATTGGAACCAATCATATTAAGTAAGAACCAATCATATTCGCTTAGCGAACAAGCTAGTTACTTTGTCAATTAAGCATGCCTATAAATTCAAATAATAATTTGTAAAAAACCTGTGCCTCTAATATGCGAGATATTACGAGTGAATATTATCAAATGATCATAGCTTTATGCGAATATTTTTTTTCACGTAATTTTTCTGTTGCAATATAAGGAAGTGTGCATCGCATCTGATTAATGATAGGAGTTCTGCAAAATGCTGTACAATCGATATATTCCAATAATTGATACGTGCCCGATTGTAATTAACCGTATTTCCGCGAGTGAGTGTTGTGTGAGTGCAACAGAGAATCTGAGAGAAGGAGATCTGAGAGATATCGGGCAACAATCAAGCAATCACGAGGTAAATAATTTATTACTTATTATGTTACTTGTTACTTGCAAGGTTAATTAATCATTTACATGTTATTAACCTTACGATTAATTATTTTATATGTTTAACAATTATTTTCTTAAAATATTATATAAATTAATTTTAGCTCTCTGTTACAATTTGGACTTATTTGCATTTTATATGTAATTATATATTTCTTATTCAACAATTTCATTACTGCGAAATATTGTATCCATAAAGCACAAATTTTTTTTTTATTTTCATAAAAGGACCGAAGTGGTTTCAAATCGAAAATTGGATAAACTTTAAATGTCGTTTATGCACAAACGAACAACTATACATAAATTTTCCTTTTAACATGTTTGTAAGGTTTCTTTATTGAACAAAATCAGATGCAGAAGTCCAAAAAGTATGAATATTTGAGGGAAATATATGTAATTGAAAGTGACTGCATCATTTGCGCATTGCTGTGATTTTGCTACGATTCCGGATGAACGAGTTGGAATTTTTCAATTTCTTTTTGGTGTCGTTTTGTTTATGAGATCCCACTCTATGGACTGAACTAAAATAGAAACAAAACATCAAGATAAGAACAATGGCTGCCAAAAAATAAAAAATGTCGAAAAATTTAAGTTATTTGATGTTAACGGACCTAAAAATAATAACGAACGAAAATTAATTTTTCATATACAAAAGTAGGTTTAGTTTTTTACGGAAAAATTTATTAACTTTATTTTAAAAAAAATGATATCGATATCTGTTCTTAAGTTATCGTGGCAAAATTGACGAAAAATGTTGTTTCGAGAAAAACGCGATTAAAGTTTGAAAAGAAAATTTTTGCTAAAGAATTTGTAAGTCTTTTTATACTAATGGCAAAAATATACTGTGTACCGAATTCTGGAATTCAGTTAACCGTTGTTCTGTTAAGTCGAGCATAGCTTTACCTGAGAGATCAATAGAAATACCAATGACTCCGACGGAGATCCTTCGTATTTCTATTATCCTCTTCTATATTTTTTGGCTTTCCTGAGCTCAATTTTGCGAATTCATCAAAAAAAGCAAACAGGAAAATATTCTTAAAGAATCACATTATTGAAAATTTGTAGTTGTTATATAATATATATTGAATATTCTTAAAGATTCACAGTTATATCTATATTCTATCTTATATCTTATATCTATATTATATCAACAGAATAAAAAACAATTTACTGCGTTTAGCAATTGAAAAAGCAGCTTCGCAAATTTTGTAAAATGGTCTTGCTCTTAATCACTGAAGCTCTCACTGAATGTAAATATATAAATCGAGATATAAACAGATTATATTAAAAATTTTTTACAACAATTGCAAAGCTGCTTCCTTTGCTGAACGCAACCAATAAATTTATATTTTAAATAATTAAATCGTCGAATTTGTGCTTATAAAAATGAATATATATTTATGCCGTTGAAGATATAAAATTTTATTTTTAATTAAAATGTCTGTTAAAGAAATCAGATTTATGTAATAACTATATATTTGTTTATTATACTGTACATCTGTTTATTTGCTTTAATTAGAATTAGCCTTGGTATTATTCTCGCAATGTCTGTTTTTTACAAATTTTTTATCAATTCATGAAACAACATGATTATAAGTAATTATAACTGATAGGCTATAGTAATTAATGGGATAGAAAAGAATTATTTATATAAGTTATATATAAATTGAACGAAAAGCTTTATTACTCCATGAATCAAATGTAATCGTGATGGAATTGGTAAAATAAATTGTTAAGATTATTTGATCTATCTGTACAAATTTATGATCAGCGCCAGCACTGATCAGGATAACTCATAAATATACTGTTACTGAAGCTCACTGTATCGATTTTATACAATCAGCGTAATCAGTTAATAATGAACAAATTGAAATACAAGCACTATTGAAATCATAGCGGTTATTGTGGTCGCATCGAAAGTGACGTTATAAATCAATTTTCTGCTTACAGTGTATTGATATGTAAACGGAAAATACTTATCCTAACGGATTATTCTAACAACTAATGCGATCATTCTGCGATTGGTTTGTATTCAGTCGGTTAATTAGCAATTCAGGATTAATTAGCAGCAATTAATCTAATGCGCAGATTATCAATTTGCCTTTTTCAGATATCGATTTTTTTTTCGCTCTTTCTCTCTCTCTCTCTCTCTCTCTCTGTCTTTCTCGTAATAACTGCGGCATACTTATACGCTGCTGTACAAAAAATTTTTTTAATATTTGACGGATATAAAATGGTATTGAGAGGTATTGAACTTTGTATATTGTTACATTCTTTTACATAATCTATCCCACGATTTAAGTACGTCAACTTCAAAAAAAAAAATTTTTCAAAACGCAAGAAAGCAATGATTCAAGATTATACATTTTCTACAAAAATGTACTTGTGTTATAAATAATTAATATATAATATTATAAATCATTTACAGATTTTTATTTACAAAAATTTTTTGATAGATTTTCAGCACATTAACATCTCTCTAATCGGATACCTTGATTGAACATCAAATTATTAAATTGCTTGTCAATTTAATTTGTGACATTACTACAATAGTGCATTTACGTTTCTAAGTCCCAAAACCAATTATAAGCTTTAAATCTTACTTGTTGTGTATTCACATTGTACGGTCTTAAATAAATAGTTTATTGACATTAAATTATATTGTAAATTAAATTTCATATATGATAAATATAAGATTTTAATTCTAACATATTTCTAATATATTTCTATGCACAATCTTCTGACTTTTTTATTTCATTGTAGGTACTTGATAATATGGTTTTTCTGTGTCGTTTCATTACGCCGCGTTATAAATATCAGTAATTTTGAATGCTTGAGATAAATTGATCTCGCTTTCTAGATTCGGTTTAAATGGTTTTTTATTTTATTCTTTATATTCTCTTTATTTTATTCTTTGTTTTATCAATTGATTCTTTTTACCGTTGCGGACACGTGTGCAGACAACTATATTCCACCCGAAAAAATAGCGCCATATATAAAGAAGCTAATGTGTATAGTATTTTTCACATCAGAATAGAATCAATTTACGAAAAATTATTTTCTTCCAAAAGAATGATATACAACGTTAAGCTATCAGAACACTTGGACTTTTTTTCGCACGGAATAGTTGTAACACGTGTTCGTGACGGTAAAAAGAATCAATTAGATCGGACCTAGAAACGAGCGAGATCAATATACCTCGAGCATTCGGAGTATTGATATTTACAGCGTAATTAACGATTGAAACGACACGGATTGTCACGGAGTTTACTGGAGATCTCGTTCACTAGTATGTTTCTCGTACGCGCAGAAAGTAAGCGAGTGTTCCGTAAATTTCTTACGATAGCATTTCCGTGACTTATTACAGCAGCAGGCGAGAAACGTTAGTGGTGCCGTGTCGACTAATGGCGCCATGTGGCTAGAAAATAAGAAGGCATAAGTAAGAAAACGTTACAAATCCACCCCACCGTATTGGACGCCGCATCGGCCATAACGTTAAACGACAATATAGGACCGGCGCCCTTCGTCATGCGAAAGACCGAAACGGCCTTACCCCATTAAATGTACTTATATGAGATACTAGCCGGTGGGCAGCCAACCGCGCATCAATCACGATAATAGGACAATAAATATCTGACCGGCAGGCGACTGCCCGGCTAAGGTCAAAAGTGCAGTAGCTTGCAATTTCTGCCCGATTTCCTGCCGATATTCGCTCGCAATAACTCAACCTTCACATCTGTAATATGTAATCGCTCCCCTACCGTGGTCTAAGCCTTGCATTAAAGTGTCACGCTGATCCAACCCCTTTCTACCCTCTGTGTCGAAGTACGCAGTACTCTGTGCAACAGTTCGATAGTTTACTGGCAAGATTTGTCGCTTCCTAGCATAACTTGCTATGTAGGCTGCAAAAGGCAAAACGGATCTCACACTTGACCAACCAGAAAATTCCTCGATTTTGTTTACGCGATGGTATAAAAGCGATAAAGAATTCTGACTTTTCTTATGTCACCTTCATTCAAGAGTGTAGAAATGTCTCTTTACCAAATAATATCAGGATTATTAGAAATTATATGATCTGTTATATGAGAATTAAAATAAGATTATACAAAAAATGGAATAATTATAAATTATATATTAGATTTTTACTAATTACATTTTAATATTATCAATAATGATGTTCATGTTTATTTATTATGTGACAATTATTTTTTGCTGATATTTGGTTATTATATTACATAACACTTGTTTTTATATATTTTAAAAAAATTTTATTAATTAATAAAGAGTTCTTCAATTTGAGCTATCAGACATTAATCCTACAATTTGTAATGTTATGTTAAATTAGAATTCAAATAGGAATTTTTATAGAATTTGAAAAAATTCTTTATAGAAACATTTTATTTCTTTGCATCTACTTTTAATAAAAATCAATTGAAAATATAACTTTTAGAAATTAAACAACGAAATTCACAAAATAATGCAAACATGTGCTTGCTTAATGAAGTATCGATAGTCGTCATTTCATGCGACAGTTGGAATACTAAGTCGACCTCGTTTTCCGAGCGGGTTATTCAAAACGGAAGTTTAGATATACGCGCCTAAAGTAATACGAAAGTGGCGTATCGGACCGAAACTTCACCCTTTAATATATAAATATGGCAAAGAGGCGGGGCTCAGCATAAGGCGCGTGTGCATTAACTGTTCAAAACTACGACATGTAAACTTGCTTTCCTCCTCTATAAACCATAAAACAACGGGCTCTGGACCGGCAGACGACCTCGCAACCCGCTAACTATTAAAAGTTGCAAATTGCTGCAGACACACTGCGGGCCCCGTGTTCGCGTACCGGCCGTCTTGGGCACTCCCGCGCGTTCGTCCTATCCTAACTTACTTACCCGACTTACTCACTTTCTTACTTATATAGTCACTCGTTTACTTACTTATTCCCCGCTTCGTATTCCTTATCCTTCGCACTTTTCCGCGCCTCGCTTTTCCCTGTTAACATTACTTGTTCTTGTCACACATATACCTTCACACGTGCGCCTAAACTTTTTTTTTAAACAACTAGTCTAGCAGAAATCTGGAGAAATGTGATTAGTGTTGAAAGTATAAAAATAACTGAGCATCTCACACAAATATTATTTTTTATTATATTTGTTAGAATTCAGTTGTGATGCAATAACTATTATCTTTTGCCATTCAAGCCACAACGAACGAATCCATCAGTCGGTTAGAGATAATTTATATTTGGGGTTGTTATACATAATAGACAATAACGCAGATTATTTAACTTCTGTACACACCGGTGTTCAATATACTATCCAGCAAACTATTTGCTACGGTTAGTTTACCGTTTAGTTGCGGCGTCCCAATGTCGCTTCCAAATATATTTTGTAAAATAGTTTACGATGCGCGGCTGGCTGATAATCGTACAAAGCACCGCGTGGGCGTAAATGCTTTATCAAGCGGGACGGAATATTTTGCCTCTGTTCAAACATTTCGCCATAATTCGGTTCAATTATCATTTGATTATATCGATTTTAGAGGTGTGTATTTAGCATCAACGTACAAATGCGGGCTCGTGAAATTATAAAAAATATGTCCGAGCGGAGACGCAAATCCTACGAGCAGTTAAACCGAAAGCTTACCAAAATTGAATATATAATAATTCACATCAAATTCTTTAACATATGTGTTGTAAAATGAGTGCGCAAATCTCTAATAAAGAATTTTTCTTCCTGTTTCACTTTATAACAGAATTTATAATAGAATTTCTTCGCTTTACTGCATACCGATAGCTACAAATTGTTAATTACGTCCGACTGCATCGTGTCAGCTTCATAATGAAATGTTAAAGCCGCTTTTAAAAATTACTGGCAGAAACTCAATAAATTTATCATACCATTAATCAACATATATGCGTTTTCATGTTAAAATACATATTTGATGCGATATATTTCGTGCACACTGTAATTTTACGCAGGCAATTTTATTGTTATCTCAGTAAAAAGCAAGAAAAAAATACTGGTTGAAAAAACTCTGATACATCGAGTTTTGCTGAATATAATTCGACTCGAATAACAAAGGCGCGTAAAAAGCAAAGTTATCGTTCAATTGTATGGTCTTTATTAAAATAACCGACTTTCTAATTGCTGCCGTCTTAAAACGCTTTTTTACCTCCTATGCACCAGTTTCATAAACCCTCATAATCCAAGAGAGTTAAATATCGTACCTGCCAGAGACTGCACGAACGACGCCAAGGGTCGACTATGCCGACGGCCAAGAAAATGAAAAGTAACGATTCAATATCAACGCCACGCGGGTTGCGTGTAGCGAATTAACACGTACTGATACGGCTGGTGTGTCGTCCAACGTTGGTGACACCATTCTTCCATTAACCCTGTCTACATTTTCTGCGTATTGTGCGCGTGGCTTTTATTATCCGCGCACTTCGGCCGTAACATTTTACTATTTCCTGCTTATATCATGCTCGTGAAATCTATCACCCATTAATTGGTAATAGGATTACGTAGAGAAATGAAATGACGTAGCTGAAGGATGTATCGTAAAAATTCATTTTAGTTTTAATTAAAAATATATTTAAATAAAATGTGAAACGTACGTAGTTAATGTTGTTAAGAAAAAATTTTTTTA